AGCCGTCATTCGGCAGCGTAGTTCCCCGCCGGCACCGTCCCCTCGCCCTGCGTCCCCGGGTGCAGGGACCTGTCCCAACGCGGGGAGCGAGGGTGCTGGCTCTGGACATGGCCGGGCAGAGAGGAGGGATGCCCCTGCTGCTGCTGCTGCTGCTGCTGCTGAGCCTTGCCGTGCCGGACCTCACTCTGGGTAAGGGCTGAGTGGGATGCAGTGCTATCCGTGGGGCGGGTGGTGAGCGGGGAGCATCGTTCCCCAGGGTGGTGGGTGGCCCCAGGGTGGCTTCAGCCACAGAGGTGAAACACTGTGTGTGCTGTTTGCTCTCTGACATCTCAGTCCCATCCCAGTGAGTAAACAGGGCTACACTTTGCCACACAGGAGGGACAAGCTTGGCTTTATTTCTTTTGCCTCTCACATATGTCTCCATCCGGGCAGAGAAGACCTTGGTTCCAGCTGGACCCCCTTGCTGAACCTTGGTCCCCGCTGGGCTCATTGCCTTTGCCATGACCTGCCCAGCAGCACCAAACTGCCCTGCCTGGATGGCAGCATCACCACGATGTTGTGGGCCTGGAAAACTGCAAATGCTGTTCCCATGTTTGCACTTGACACAAAGCAAGAGCAGTGTTGAGTCGAGCACAGGGAATAAACCTGAGACTTGTACCTCCTGCAAGCCTCGAGCTACAGCTGTAGGTCCCCTCCTCCTGTGGCCCTCAACCCCCCCTGCAGAGCTTTCGTGGGTCACTGCACATCTCTAACCACTCGCCCCTGAGCTGCAAGCTGGGATTTGTTCCTCTATGGCCGCGCTCTGGGGGGGCTGGTTTCCCCGTTGCCTTTATTTACACCCGGCGCTATCAGTTCCTGACTATCAGCAGCAGAGAGGTTTGTGTAAACTTGCTGCTGCGGTTCCAGCTCATCTCATGGTCACCAGTTCCTGCACGGCTCTTCCCGTCGGACGGGTTTGTCTGACTTCCTCCAGGGATGGTGAAGGTGGTGGAACAGGTCTTAGGGCTGGTGCCTACGGGAGTTTCTGCCCCGAGACTGGCGATGCCCATGGCTTGTTCCTGCTTTGTCAGGCTGGGGGATTTACGTGGCCTGCCTTGCAGATGATCATGTTGCCATTCAGGGCATTCACGTGCTTGGTCCATGCAGGACGGTGAATCCCCACTCCTGACGATCCATGGCTGATGCGTAGCTCGGAGAGCTCATGGTTGTGGTTTTGCTGCCCCACCCCCGGCCCAGCCATGGTCTCAGCCTTTCACCGCCAGCCCTTGCGCACCTCATTCTCCAATCTCTTTGCAGTGAGCACCACCAGAGATGTGATGGTCACCGTGTCCCCAACTCTCCCTACCTCCTCGACACCCACAGAGACCTTGGCACTGCTGTCCACCACCGACTCCACCACCGCAACCACCCTCCCTCCCTCCAGCCCTGAAACCTCCACCCCAGAGGTGCTGACCGATGCCTTCACAGCCAGTGATGCAACGCCTCTGGGGAGCAGCCCAGCAACCTTCAGCATCACCACACCTCAGGAGAGGGGCAGCACAGCCCACAGCACTCCCGGGTTAACTGCCGGCACCACGGTGCAGCCTGATCCCACCCCAACAGGGCTGGGGCTCACCACCGGCACCCCAACAGAGCTAGGGCTCACCACCGGCACCCCAACTCCGACCCCCATGGCCGTGACCTCCAACTGTGCTGAGACGACCATGGTCACATCTGTGGGAACCAGCATGGCTCTGGCTGTCAGCTCGTTTGGAGTCAAAACGAGCATGCTGCCTCCCCCCACCTCTACTCTTCTCCCCTCCACCTGGGTGGGCACCACGCTTGGCACCAGCACCCCCCAAGGGCCAGCCGTGACCACGCTGCTTGGCAGCACACCCCCAGGGACCGGCAGCGCCTCTTCTCCCACCGCACCAGCACTGACAGCCACTTCAGACAAGCCCTCAACAACCCCGTTGGACGCCACGGCCACCCCCGTTACCAGCACGGGGGTCCCCGGGAGCACCCCCACCCCCAGCCAGCCGGCCGGGACCACGGCTGGGACCAGCCCTGGTACCTCCACCCCGGCAGCACCTGAGACCCCCAGT